GAGTGTAGATGAGTGTAGCGGTGAGTGTAGTGATGGTGAGTAGTCGTGAGTGTAGCAGTGAGTGTAGCGGTGGTGAGTAGTGGTGAGTGTAGTGGTGAGTGTAGTGATGGTGAGCGTGGCGGTGAGCGTGGCGGTGAGGGTAGAGTGTTGGGTGTAGTGGTGGTGAATTTGTGGTGGTGAGCGTGGCGGTGAGGGTAGAGTGTTGGGTGTAGCGGTGGTGAATTTGTGGTGGTGAGCGTGGCGGTGAGGGTAGAGTGTTGGGTGTAGCGGTGGTGAGTTTGTGGTGGTGAGCGTGGCGGTGAGGGTAGAGTGTTGGGTGTAGCGGTGGTGAGTTTGTGGTGGTGAGCGTGGCGGTGAGGGTAGAGTGTTGGGTGTAGCGGTGGTGAGTTTGTGGTGGTGAGCGTGGCGGTGAGGGTAGAGTGTTGGGTGTAGCGGTGGTGAGTTTGTGGTGGTGAGCGTGGCGGTGAGGGTAGAGTGTTGGGTGTAGCGGTGGTGAATTTGTGGTGGTGAAAATGGCGGTGAGGGTAGAGTGTTGGGTGTAGCGGTGGTGAGTTTGTGGTGGTGAGCGTGGCGGTGAGGGTAGAGTGTTGGGTGTAGCGGTGGTGAGTTTGTGGTGGTGAGCGTGGCGGTGAGGGTAGAGTGTTGGGTGTAGCGGTGGTGAATTTGTGGTGGTGAGCGTGGCGGTGAGGGTAGAGTGTTGGGTGTAGCGGTGGTGAATTTGTGGTGGTGAAAATGGCGGTGAGGGTAGAGTGTTGGGTGTAGCGGTGGTGAGTTTGTGGTGGTGAGCGTGGCGGTGAGGGTAGAGTGTTGGGTGTAGCGGTGGTGAATTTGTGGTGGTGAGCGTGGCGGTGAGGGTAGAGTGTTGGGTGTAGCGGTGGTGAATTTGTGGTGGTGAAAATGGCGGTGAGGGTAGAGTGTTGGGTGTAGCGGTGGTGAATTTGTGGTGGTGAAAATGGCGGTGAGGGTAGAGTGTTGGGTGTAGCGGTGGTGAGTTTGTGGTGGTGAGCGTGGCGGTGAGGGTAGAGTGTTGGGTGTAGCGGTGGTGAGTTTGTGGTGGTGAGCGTGGCGGTGAGGGTAGAGTGTTGGGTGTAGCGGTGGTGAATTTGTGGTGGTGAAAATGGTGGTTAGGGTAGAGTGTTGGGTGTAGCGGTGGTGAATTTGTGGTGGTGAAAATGGCGGTGAGGGTAGAGTGTTGGGTGTAGCGGTGGTGAGTTTGTGGTGGTGAGCGTGGCGGTGAGGGTAGAGTGTTGGGTGTAGCGGTGGTGAATTTGTGGTGGTGAGCGTGGCGGTGAGGGTAGAGTGTTGGGTGTAGCGGTGGTGAATTTGTGGTGGTGAAAATGGCGGTGAGGGTAGAGTGTTGGGTGTAGCGGTGGTGAGTTTGTGGTGGTGAGCGTGGCGGTGAGGGTAGAGTGTTGGGTGTAGCGGTGGTGAATTTGTGGTGGTGAGCGTGGCGGTGAGGGTAGAGTGTTGGGTGTAGCGGTGGTGAATTTGTGGTGGTGAAAATGGCGGTGAGGGTAGAGTGTTGGGTGTAGCGGTGGTGAATTTGTGGTGGTGAAAATGGCGGTGAGGGTAGAGTGTTGGGTGTAGCGGTGGTGAATTTGTGGTGGTGAAAATGGCGGTGAGGGTAGAGTGTTGGGTGTAGCGGTGGTGAGTTTGTGGTGGTGAGCGTGGCGGTGAGGGTAGAGTGTTGGGTGTAGCGGTGGTGAGTTTGTGGTGGTGAGCGTGGCGGTGAGGGTAGAGTGTTGGGTGTAGCGGTGGTGAATTTGTGGTGGTGAAAATGGCGGTTAGGGTAGAGTGTTGGGTGTAGCGGTGGTGAATTTGTGGTGGTGAAAATGGCGGTGAGGGTAGAGTGTTGGGTGTAGCGGTGGTGATCAGCGGTGGCGAGTAGCGGTGGCGAGTAGCGGTGGCAATCAGCGCTGGTGAGTAGTGGTGGTGAGTAGCACTGGTGAGTAGCGGCGGTGAGTGTCCTCACCTTGCTCCACTGCAGGGTGGCAAGGGGGTTGCCCCCCTGAGACTGGCACCGCAGGTTCAGACCGTCGCCCTCCCTCAGCGGGCGACCCTCCAACCCCTCCACCCAGGGCGGGCTCGGGGGGACTGCCGGGCAAGAGTGGACGGAGAGGTCAGCTCACCTGTACACTCCTCACCTGTACACTCACCTGTACACTCACCTGTACACTCACCTGTACACTCCTCACCTGTACACTCCTCACCTATACACTCACCTATACACGCCTCACCTGTACACTTACCTGTACACTCCTCACCTATACACTCCTCACCTATACACTCCTCACCTATACACTCCTAACCTGTACACTCACCTGTACACTCCTCACCTGTACACTCATCTGTACACTCCTCACCTGCACACTCACCTATACACTCCTCACCTGTACACTAACCTGTACACTCCTCACCTGTACACTAACCTGTACACTCCTCACCTGTACACTCCTCACCTGTACACTCACCTGTACACTTCTCACCTGCACACTCACCTATACACTCACCTGTACACTCCTCACCTGTACACTTACCTGTACACTCCTCATCTGTACGCTCACCTGTACACTCACCTGTACACTCCTCACCTGCACACTTAGCTATACACTCCTCACCTGTTCACACTCTCTCCCCCCTGTTCACTCTCTCCCTTGTTCACTCTCTCCCCTGTTCACTCTCTCCCCTGTTCAATCGTGGGGGTGGGGTGACTCACAGTGCACGTTGGCACGTAGCGAGGTGACGCGGGGTGCGTCCAGAGCCGTGTTGATCGCCGAGCAGGAGAAGGACACTCCGTTGTCCGTCGCCTTGGGCACGAACCTGGACACGGCCAGCACCGTCCATCAGCGTCGCCACGGCCACGGTCGTCATGGCCGCCATCGTCATGGTCGTCATTGTCATATGGCCATGGCTGCCGTCGCCAGCGGCATCTACATCTACAGAACGTGATGAACCAGTGCATCTACATCTGCATAACGTGAAGAACCAGCGGCATCTACATCTACAGAACGTGATGAACCAGCGGCATCTACATCTACAGAACGTGAAGAACCAGTGACATCTACATAACGTGAAGAACCAGTGGCATCTACATCTACAGAACGTGCAGAACCAGTGGCATCTACATCTGCATAACGTGAAGAACCAGTGGCATCTACATCTGCATAACGTGAAGAACCAGTGGCATCTACATCTACAGAACATGAAGAACCAGTGGCATCTACATCTACAGAACGTGATGAACCAGTGGCATTTACATCTACAGAACGTGAAGAACCAGTGGCATCTACATCTGCAGAACATGATGAACCGGTGGCATCTACATCTGCATAACGTGAAGAACCAGCGGCATCTACATCTACAGAACGTGAAGAACCAGTGGCATCTACATCTGCAGAACATGATGAACCGGTGGCATCTACATCTGCATAACGTGAAGAACCAGCGGCATCTACATCTACAGAACGTGATGAACCAGTGGCATCTACATCTACATAACGTGAAGAACCAGTGGCATCTACATCTACAGAACGTGCAGAACCAGTGGCATCTACATCTGCATAACGTGAAGAACCAGTGGCATCTATATCTACAGAACGCGATGAACTAGTGGCATCTACATCTGCAGAACGTGAAGAACCAGTGGCATCTACATCTGCAGAACGTGAAGAACCAGTTGAATCTACATCTGCAGAACGTGATGAACCAGTGGCATCTACATCTGCAGAACGTGAAGAACCAGTGGCATCTACATCTACAGAACATGAAGAACCGGTAGAATCTACATCTACAAAACATGAAGAACCAGTGGCATCTACATCTACAGAACGTGAAGAACCAGTGGAATCTACATCTGCAGAACATGAAGAACCAGTGGCATCTACATCTGCAGAACATGAGGAACCAGTGGCATCTACATCTGCAGAACGTGAAAAACCAGTGGCATCTACATCTACAGAAGGTGAAGCACCAGTGGCATCTACATCTACAGAACATGAAGAACCAGTGGCATCTACATCTACAGAACATGAAGAACCAGTGGCATCTACATCTGCATAACGTGAAGAACCAGTGGCATCTACATCTACAGAAGGTGAAGAACCAGTGGCATCTACATCTACAGAACGTGAAGAACCAGTAGCATCTACACCTGCAGAACATGAAGAACCAGTGACATCTACATCTGCAGAACGCGACCAACCGGTAGAATCTACATCTACAAAACATGAAGAACCAGTGGTATCTACGCCTACGCGAGATTATACAACTTTCAAAGTCATCCCCTGTGTTTAGTATACATGCCGTACAACGTTTTTAGAATCGAGTTGGACTTACAAACATTCGACTTACGAACAGACCCCTGGAACGTAATCCGTTCGTAAGTAGAGGAGTCCCTGTACTCGGACTCCTCACTCCCAGTGGCTCCCCGTGGCTCCCCGTGGCTCCCCGTGGCTCCCCGTGGCTCACCGGAGGATGGCGACCGAGTCGAAGAGCTTGGGCTGTGACCCCTCGGACACGGAGACCTCCACACCGGGCAGGGATTCCGCCCCTGGGACACACGCACAGACACGCACACACACATAAATATACATACATACATATACATACATACACACATACACACATACAATACTTATACACACACACACATACACACATACATACATACAATACTTATACACACACACACATACACACATACATACGCACATACATACACACATACACACACACACAACAACAACAACAACCGCCATTCGCCACTAAGTGGCGGTGACGTCACCACGACGCTTGTGCCAGGCCATGTGCACCTTGAGGCCACGTGAAGTGTCGAACGCCTGATGGCAGGAGGTCACGGGGCAGACCCAGCAGGTGCCACGGGTCGACTAACCGAGATGACCGAGATGACTGGCTGATGCACCACCTGTGCCCCCTACTGTGCCAACTTGCTGCGTTTTAGCCACCCAGCGCTCCGCTCGTTGTTGTGAGCGTCGCTCCTCCACCCTCCGTTGTTGTTGGAGGGCGACTGCCTGCAACTGCCCAGTAGCGTCCTTCACGAGCCTCCTCCACAGAGGCCGATCTTGACACCGCTGGTACCAGTCATCGGCAAGTCCACTCAGCTCCACGTCCTCCTGTACCACATCACTCCATCTCTTCTCTAGCCCGTGCCGCGCCCGTCTAGCCCCCTCGATCCGTCCGAACAAAAGCTGTTTAGGCATGCGGTGGCTGGGCATGCGGCCTACATGACCCACCCCACCCCACCCCCTCTCCACGCTCACCTCTCATCCACTGCACCTGTGCACGTGGCTTGGCATCTGTGGCCGTGCAGGTGAGCGTGACCTCGACCCCAGCAACCCAGGTCACGGAGTCGCTCCCCACGTGGTCCGAGATCACGGGACGCTGGGGTGGGACTGGCGCAGGGGTCGGGGGGGGGGGGGTACAGAGCCAGCGTCACTGAGCACACAACGCGCGCTCTCAGATGCTATATACACTACACTATACTACTATACTAGACACTACACTATAAACTACACAACATACTACACTACACTATAGTAGTCACTACACAACATACTACACTACACTATACACTACACTATACTACTATACTAGACACTACACAACATACTATACACTACACTATACACTACACTGCAACACACTACACTGCAACACACTACACTAGACAATAATAACGATACTATAATACACTACACTATACTACTATACTAGACACTACACTATGAACTACACAACATACTACACTACACTATACACTATAGTAGTCACTACATTATAAACTACACAACATACTACACTACACTATACACCACACTGCAATACACTACACTAAACAATACACAATACTATAATACACTACACTATACACTACATTGTAATACACCACTAGACAATAATACACGATACTATAATACACTACACTATACACTACACTACACAAGATGATAATAACGATACTATAATACACTCCACTATACATTACACTATACAATAATACCGATACTATATTACACTACAATATACACTACACTGCAATACACTACAGTAGACAATACACAATACTATAATACACTACACTATACACTACACAGCAATACACTACACTAGACAATAATACACGATACTATAATACACTACACTATACACTACACTGCAATACACTACGCTAGACAATAATACACAATACTATAATACACTACACTATACAATAATAACGATACTATAATATACTGCACTATACACTACACTGCAATACACTACACTAAACAATACACAATACTATAATACACTACACTATACAGTAATACACTACACTAGACAATAATACACGATACTATAATACACTACACTACAACACACTGCACTGTAATACACTATACACTACACTATACACTACACTACTATACACTACACTACACACTACAACACACTACACAGTAGCTCAGAAGGTGGGGCCTTTACACCTGGTAAAACACAAAAACAAGAGTTCAAACACTGCCACATGGGGTCCCCATAAGGGCAGCAGTGGTTTGCAGTTGTTACAAACATGCACAATATTAATAGCTACATAGCGTGTAGTGTATAGTGTAGTGTATAGTGTAGTGTAATAGCTACATAGGGTATAGTGTATAGTGTAGTGTATAGCGTAGTGTATAGTGTAGTGTATAGTGTAGTGTAATAGCTACATAGGGTATAGTGTAGTGTAATCACAACATAGGGTGTAGTGTATAGTGTCGTGTATAGTGTAGTGTAATAGCTACATAGGGTGTAGTGTATAGTGTAGTGTAACAACTACATAGGCTGCAGTGTATAGTGTAGTGTATAGTGTAGTGTATAGTGTAGTGTAACAACTGCATAGGCTGTAGTGTATAGTGTAGTGTAACAACTACATAGGGTGTAGTGTATAGTGTAGTGTATAGTGTAGTGTGTAGTGTAGTGTATAGTGTAGTGTAACAACTGCATAGGCTGTAGTGTATAGTGTAGTGTAATAACTACATGGGGTGTAGTGTATAGTGTAGTGTATAGTGTAGTGTAACAACTACATAGGCTGTAGTGTATAGTGTAGTGTAATAACTACATAGGCTGTAGTGTATAGTGTAGTGTAACAACTACATAGGGTGTAGTGTATAGTGTAGTGTATAGTATAGTGTAACAACTACATAGGCTGTAGTGTATAGTGTAGTGTAATAACTACATGGGGTGTCGTGTATAGTGTAGTGTATAGTGTAGTGTATAGTGTAGTGTAACAACTACATAGGCTGCAGTGTATAGTGTAGTGTATAGTGTAGTGTATAGTGTAGTGTATAGTGTAGTATAATAACTACATATGGCTTGATGAAACAAAGTAAGTTGCAACTCATTCATGTCTCGCAACTCTCCCCCCCCCCCCCCCAGAGAGAGGGGGAGGGGGGCACGAGCCAGACAGCCGAGCCGTGGGTGAGCCAGAGAGCCGTCTCACTCACTCAGCACGCTGAGCCACGCGGTTAGGCGAGGCGATGGGATGGCTGGAAGGGGATCGCCCCGCCTGGCACTGGAACCAACCATCATCCTCCAGCTCCACGCTCTCGATCTGGAGGTTAAACTGCCCTGGTGGGGGAGGGGGGGGGGGTGAGGGGAAGGGGGGGTCAGAGGTGTGTGTGTTAAGGTGTGTGTATGTGTGTAGCTGTGTGTGTGTGTCGATGTGTCGACCCGTGGCACCTGGGTTTTCAAGTTCATTTATTCAAGTTCAGGGGAGGGAGGGGAGGAGGGGGAGGGGAGGAGGGGGGGAGGAGGGGGGGGAGGAGGGGGGGGGAGGAGGGGGGGTGGTATGAAGGGGGGCAGGGGGTCAGAGATGTGTGTGTTAAGGTGTGTGTATGTATTCTAGATTTGAAGCTTTCGTGACTGCAAGGATTCATATTCTTAAGTCACGTAGGTAAAAAATTAGAAATTAAAATTAATAAAAGTAAAATAAAATAATTTTCATTTCTATTTTTTTACCGACGTGACTTTACCGAAAAAACCTAAGAATGTGTGTGTATGTGTGTAGCTGTGTGTGTGTATGTAGCTGTGTGTGTGTGTGTAGCTGTGTGTGTGTATATGTGTATATGTGTGTAGCTGTGTGTGTGTATGTGTGTATGTGTGTATATGTTTGTAGCTGTGTGTGTGTATGTGTGTATATGTTGTAGCTGTGTGTGTGTATGTGTGTATATGTGTGTAGCTGTGTGTGTGTATGTGTGTATATGTGTGTAGCTGTGTGTGTGTATGTGTGTATATGTTTGTAGCTGTGTGTGTGTATGTGTGTGTATGTGTGTAGCTGTGTGTGTGTATGTGTGTATATGTTTGTAGCTGTGTGTGTGTATGTGTGTATATGTTTGTAGCTGTGTGTATGTGTGTGTATGTTTGTAGCTGTGTGTGTGTATGTGTGTGTATGTGTGTAGCTGTGTGTGTGTAGCTGTGTGTGTAGCTGTGTGTGTGTAGCTGTGTGTGTGTGCGTGTCGGTGGTGAGCGGTAGTGTAGCGGTTAGCGCGGGGGGGGGATGGAAGAGGAGGGGGTGGAGGTGGGGGGTGGAGGAGGGGGGGGGGGGGTGGAGGGGGGGTGGAGGAGAGGGGGGGGGGTGGTGGAGGAGGGGGGCGGGGGGTGGAGGAGGGGGTGGAGGAGGGGGTGGAGGAGGGGGGAGTGTTGGAGTAGGGGGGTGGAGGAGGGGGGGGTGGCGGACAAGGGGGTGATGGAGGAGGAGGTGAAGGAGGAGGGGGGGGGAAGGCAGGTGGAGTGTAGTGGAGGTAGTGGCGGTATAGGAGTAGGATGAAGCTGATGACGATAATCATCATCATCCGCCTGCCACGACGGAGCTGACCGCTGGCCTGCGCCCCCATCATGGCGTATCTCGGGAAGCCCGGCATGTCTCGCTGCGGGCCCAGCAGGAGGCCGTCCTTGACCCACTGCACGGCCCCGGACGCGGCCTGCACCTCGCAGCGCAGGGTCGCCGTCGTGCCCTCCGGCACCGAGCTGTTTTCGGGTCGCACGCGAAACGTCTGTTGCCTGCACGAACCTTTACGGAGAGAGGGAAGGGGGGGGGGGGGTGGTGAGCCAGAGTTGAAAATACATGTATTCGTAACTATAGTCTTAGGTTTTTTCGGTAAAGTCACGTAGGTAAAATATTTTTAATTTATAAAAGTAATATAAAAATAAAATAAAAATCACGACGTTTCGGAGGCAAAAAAGCTTCTCTCATATTCTTAGGTTTTGTTCGGTAAAGTCACGTAGGGAAAAAAAATTTAATTTATAAAAGTAAAATAAAAATCACGACGTGTATCAAGTAAATGATTTTTATTTTACTTTTATAATTTTTTTTACCTACGTGACTTTACCGAAAAAAACCTAAGAATATGAATACTTGCAGTCACGAAAGCTTCAAGCTTCTCTCACTTGATACAGCTGTCGTGATGTGACTGTTCCACCTGAAGACGGAAGCTTGTGTTGCCTCCGAAACGTCGTGATTTTTATTTTATTTTTTATTTTACTTTTATTAATTTAAAATTTTTACCTACAAACGAGTGAACGAACGAACGAGTGAATGAAGGAACGAACGAGTGAACGAACTAATGAACGAATGAACGAATGAACGAACGAGTGAACGAACGAATGAACGAACGAGTGAACGAACGAATGAACTAACGAATGAACTAACGAATGAACGAACGAGTGAACGAACGAGTGAACGAACAAGTGAACGAACGAACGAGTGAACGAACGAGTGAACGAACGAGTGAACGAACGAACGAGTGAACGAATGAACGAACGAATGAACGAACGAATGAACGAACGAACGAACGAGTGAACGAACGAGTGAACGAACGAACAAGTGAACGAACGAGTGAACGAACGAACAAATGAACGAACGAGTGAACGAACGAGTGAACGAACGAACAAATGAACGAATGAGTGAACGAACGAGTGAACGAACGAATGAGTGAACGAACGAGTGAACGAACGAAGGAACGAACGAGTGAACGAACGAACGAGTGAACGAACGAGTGAACGAACGAACGAGTGAACGAAGGAACGAACGAGTGAACTAACGAGTGAACGAGTGGACGAACGAAACGAGCGAAACGACCAAAACGAAACGGACATCGATCTAGGACGTGGCCCGCTTACCCTGGTGCAGGGCGCAGAGCAGGGCGCAAAGCAAGGTTCGTGGAGCCATCCTCATCACCATCATCCTTCTCATCATCATCAACATCATCATCATCATCCTCATCATCATCCTCCTCCCACTGCCGCACGTCCGGCACTTGGAACGTCACCTGGGGGGTAAGGGGGGAAATAAACACAAACAAAAACAACCCTTCCAACCCAGGTTATATATATGCTCCAAGCACGTGGGCTGTTTCATTCAGACGCTGTCGCCTCGACAGACCTGGTCTTCATCTGAGGACGGCTGCTTGCGTTGTGGCCGAAACGTCGTGAGAATTGTATTTTATTATGTTTTATTTTTATTATTTTATTACTTCCCTTCTACGTGATGACTTTACCGAAAGAACCAAGAAGATGAATCCCTGCAGTCACGAAAGAAGCTTTAAATCGGAAAAAAACAGCAACCTAAAAATGTAACTAATTATTTTGTTATTTTATTTTTCAGAATCAGAATACATGTCTTTATTATTGCATGAGGAATCCGATGAGCTATGAAGCTATTTTTATTTCTAGATTGATACAGCTATTGTGCTGTGACGGTTCCACCTGAAGACAGAAGCTTGTGTTGCCTCCGAAACGTCGTGATTTTTATTTTATTTTTATTTTACTTTTATTAAATTTAATTTTTTAAATCCTTTATATTAAGTTCGCTTGCTTGCTTGCTTGCGTGCTTGCGTGCTTGCTTGCTTGCTTACGACCGTGCAAATCTTTCAGTCGTTTTTTAACCCACTTCCCGTGATCCAATCGAGCTGACATTTTACACACAGACTCGTTGTGCGAGACAATTAATGTTCGTGAAAAAATTTTTCCAAAATTTTACACTGTTTAGGGAAAACAAATTAAATATTTAATTACCAATTGCTTAATACTGGCAGACAATCATCTGACCCATAGGTGGCAGCCATCTCAAGCCAGAGGACGAGAGGACTCTAGCCGCCATGCATATAAAGGATTTATAGTGAAAAACTTTGTTTTTACGGGTTATACTTATTACCTACGTGACTTTACCTAAAAAACCTAAGAATATGAAGCTATTTTTACTCACGTGCCAGTAGGGGACACACGCGGTGTTTGTGTTGTGTGTGTCTCTCTCTGTGTGTCTCTGTGTTGTGTGTTTCTCTGTGTGTCTGTGTTGTGTGTCTCTGTGTGTCTCTGTGTTGTGTGTTTCTCTGTGTGTCTGTGTTGTGTCTCTCTCTGCTTGTGTTTCTCTGCGTGTGTCTGTGTTGTGTGTGTCTCTCTGTGTGTCTCTGTGTTGTCTCTCTCTGTGTGTCTGTGTTGTGTCTCTCTCTGTGTGTCTGTGTTGTGTCTCTCTCTCTGTGTGTGTCTCTCTCTGTGTGTCTCTCTCTCTGTGTGTCTGTGTTGTGTGTCTCGCTCTGTGTCTCTGTGTTGTCTCTCTCTGCTTGTGTATGTCTGTGTGTCTCCTTGTCTGTGTATTGTCTCTCTCTCTCAAGTGTAGTTCTACCTGATGACGGCTGCTTGTGCTGCAATCGAAACGTCGTACTCTATTATTTTATTTATTTTATTTCTACGTCACTTTACCGACAGAACCAAAGAGTATGGATCCCCATTCTGCCAGGCCAAGGCCCACTGACCTATTAACTTACTTTAGACGCCTTTCTGAAATGATAGCCAGCTCAACGAAGTGTCCGATTACACTGGTCAACGCACTTTTTCTGGCATAAGGTCTTACAACGGTTTTAAGGTTAATTTATGGGTGCTGATTCCACCAAATACAGCACCATATTTTAACACTAAAGCAGTCACTGACTCGCAACAACTTGCAATCTTAAGTGACAGAGTGAATTTCGGGTAAAATCAATGAAAATGGGGTATGCCGATAGCATAAAAATGAGATGTGATGGAGCAAATCTGAGACCAGATTTGGAATCAGCACCCTGAAATTAGTCTAAAACAGCTGCAAAAGTCCAGGCCAGAAAAAAATGTTTAGTTTTTTGTTGACCAGTGTAATCATCACCCTGTGTACATGTGCATGAGCAGACAACTCATTTACAGTAGCAGCCAAATACTCTGAATGCGCGAAGTTAATTCTATGGACTCGGAGGTCCAAAGTCCCACAGAGACCCACAGAGACCAATAATTATTATCAGAGACCCACAGAGACCCAGAGACTCATATTAGAAGCAGAGAGACCCACAGAACCCCAAAGAGACCCAAACTCCAAATATACAGCAGGCATTGTCATGGTCGGGATTGAACCGATGAGCCTCGTGCATTGCAGGCGAGGTATTCAACATCTCCTAGACACAGTGATGATGATGAGAAAAAAAGAGACGCATACTCCAAATATACAGCAGCAGGCATCGTCAGGGTCGGGATCGAACCCACGACCTCCTGTATACTCAGCGAGGTAGTCAACATCTCCTAGCCACCGTGATGATGATGAGAGAGAGAGACGCAAACTCCAAATCCACAGCAGGCGTCGTCAGGGTCGGGATCTAACCCACGACCTCCTGTATACTCAGCGAGGTAGTCAACATCTCCTAGCCACCGTGATGATGATGATGAGATAGAGACGCAAACTCCAAATATGCAGCAGGTGTCGTCAGGGTCAGGATCGAACCCACGACCTCCTGTAAACCAGGCGAGGTAGCCAACATCTCCTAGCCACCGTGATGATGAGAGACGCAAACTTCAAATATACAGCAGGCGTCGTTAGGGTCGGGATCGAACCCACGACCTCCTGCATACCAGGCGAGGTAGTTAACATCTCCTAGCCACCGTGATGATGATGATGAGAGAAAGAGAGACACGCAAACTCCAAATACACAGCAGCAGGTGTCGTCAGGGTCGGGATCGAACCCACGACATCCTGCATACCAGGCGAGGTAGTTAATATCTCCTAGCCATCTTCTTGGTTCTTTCGGTAAAGTCACGTAGAAGGGACATAATAAAATAATAAAAATAAAACATAATAAAATAATACAATTCTCACGACGTTTCGGCCACAACGCAAGTAGCCGTCCTCAGGTGAAGAACAGGTCTGTCGGAAAGACAGCGTCTGAATGAGCCGTCTGAATGAGCCTCATTCAGACGCTGTCTTTCCAACTTTACCGAAAGAACCAAGAAGATGAATCCTTGCAGTCACGAAAGCTTTAAATCGAAAAAAAACAGCAACCTAAAAATATAACTAATTATTTTGTTATTTAATTTTTCAGAATCCGAATAAATGTCTTTATGACTGCAGGAGGAATCCGATGAGCTATGAAGCTCTTTTTATTTCTAGATTGATATAGCTATCGTGCTGTGACGGTTCCACCTGAAGACGGAGGCTTGTGTTGCCTCCGAAACGTCGTGATTTTATTTTATTTTACTTTTATTAAATTTATTTTTTTACCTACGTGACTTTACCGAAAAAACCTAAGAATATGAAGCTCGTTTTACTCACGTGCCAGTAGGGGACTTCAATTGCAGATACCTACAGCGGTCGCTCCACACGAAGTACCGTCGGAGACGAACGCAGACAACGTTTCAAACCCGCAATGTGTCCTGGCTGCAATTGATTGAAGACCACGATGATGATGACGATGATCGGGCCGATGGGAAGTTGGGGAAAAGAGACTGCGATTGTGTGACTCAGTCGAATGTCATCACTTGAAGCCAAACTCCCACCACCACCACCACCCCCACCATCATCTCCACCACAACCCCACCACCCCCACCCCCACCACCCCCACCACCCCCACCACTATCTCCACCACCACCACCACCACCACCCCAACCACCACCATCTCCACCACCACCCCACCACCATCCCCATCACCACCCCCCACCACCACCACCCAACCACCACCATCTCCACCACCACCCCACCACCACCACCATCCCCACCCCCACCACCACCACCATCCCCACCCCCACCACCATCCCCACCACCATCCCCACCACCACCACCACCATCCCCCGCCACCACCACCACCATCCCCCGCCACCACCACCATCCCCACCACCCCCACCACCCCCACCACCATCCCCACCACCATCCCACCACCACCACCACCCCCCACCACCACCCCCACCACCACTACCATCCCCACCACCACCCCCACCACCATCCCCACCACCACCACCCCCACCCCCACCACCACCATCCCCACCACCACTACCATCCCACCACCACCACCCCCACCACCACCCCCACCACCACCCCCACCACCACCCCCACCACCACCCCCACCACCACCCCCCACCACCCCCACCACCACCCCCACCACCCCCACCACCACTACCATCCCCACCACCACCACCACCCCCACCCCACACCACCCCCACCACCATCCCCACCACCAACACCCCCACCATCTCCACCACCACCCCACCACCACCACCATCCCCACCACCACTACCATCCCCACCACCACCACCACCATCCCCACCACCACCACCACCACCCCCACCACCATCCCACCACCCCAACGCATCGCTCAGCCCGCTCACTTGATCAACCCCATCCCACCCAACTCATTCGCCCATCGAAACACTCCCACGCGCAACAAAGACAAAGATCCCCCGTGTAGCCTGAACAGACTGTAGGGGCAAGTGCTGTTAGCGAGCAGCAGCACCTATGAAGGCTACCGGCACTGTGGCACACGAGGGGGTGGGTGGTCAACACCACCACGCCCGGCCGCCTTTGTCTCCCCCAGTGGCGATGTTCTACTACACATCGCACCAGGTAACTCATTTGAGGCTGAGTCGACCTAGGGGAGGCCCAGGACCTGTTCAGATAATCGTCACTGGTGATGGCCGTGAGCGGGAATCGAACCAGGGTCGCCGGGTTTGTAGCGCAGCGTAGCGCTAACCACTGCATCACCGCTCCCCACACAGACACAGACACACAAAGACAAAGATTCCCCGTGTAGTCTGTGACAGACTGTTGGGGCAAGTGCTGTGAAGGCTACCGGCACTGTGGCACACACGAGGGGGTGGGTGGCCAGCACCACCACGCCCGGCCGCCTTTGTCTCCCCAGTGGCGATGTTCTACTACGCATCGCCACCAGCGAACTTATTTGAGGCTGAGTCGACCTAGGGGTAAGGGAA